ATCGGTGCTATACTGCACCCTGACTGGCTCCTCTCCTCCCCGAGACCCTTCTGTAAGGGGATGTCCAGTGGCTTACAAATGGGCTTTGGGTCTCCACTCCATACTCCCTTCCATTTTTAATATAGCATATCCCATTGGTCTCATTATTTATGTCTTTCATTTCCTATATAAAAGTTTATCATCTTCATCTTAGTTGCTTTATAGTTTTATTGAATATATTTTTTAGTTATTTCTAGTATTCCAACTTCATGGCATTTGTAATTTCACAATGTCTAGAAAACAAGCTTAATTCTAGCATGGCTAGTCATAATTTTCTCACGAAATCTTTGGATTTCCAACACAGGCAATATTGTTTGCAAGTAGTGACATTGTGTTATATGGATCTGTTATATGGCGTCTTTTATGTGCCTTAATGCGTTTGTTAGAAACTTTAGTACCATTTTACACAGAAGCAGTAAAAGCTTTCAACCTTGTGTCTGCTGACTTTAAAGAAAATGCATTTAATATTTTATCTTTATATATAATGTTTACTATTATCTGGGGACCATATTAACAAGGACTGAATATAATTACCTCTTACTTTCCTCCTGGTGCATTTCATGTTAATTTACATGTCAAAGTTATATTTATGAAGACATTTTGCCATAGCAACTATAGTAATTTGTCCAAGGTCACCTAGAAAAGGTATATGATTCAACGAGTCGGATACAGATCATATTCAGTGTACTTTCTAGAGATACTTTTTATTCATCCTAGGATATTGCCTTCTCTTTTCAGTTTAGTGAACATGCTTTTATAGTGAATCTGATTGAATTTTATCAGTTCTTCCTTAAATCAGTGATTGAAAATAATTGCATGGTTTTCTTTGTGTAGTTTCTACTGATTTATATTATATGGTTGGTTTATCACATATTCTTTACATTCATGGAGTTAAATCAGTCTATTCAGTATTCCGGTTTCAGTATATGTTTACCATTTCAGAACAGAAATATAATAGTTACAGTTTTTATAGCTGTGGTATTTAACATAGCTAATTACCATATATTAAGATTGGTCATTGCTATCTTTTACTAAAATTGTCACAGGTCTGCTAGAGTCAGATCAGTCTGTACTTTTCCTTCTTGTCCTGTTGTTCTGTGGTAACAGAATGAAGATGAGGACCACGTAGGTGTGGGTCTTGCTCACCTTTCTGAAGTCAGCAACAACACAGTCTAAAAGGAGGGTAATCTGTTCATGCTGGAATATCACTATAATATGTATGCTATTTATGATAGCAGGACTTTAGTGGTTCAGACCCATTGAGTGTTCCTATTTTATCTTAGATCTTCTAAAATCTCTTCAAAGTTCTTGTCATCCAAGTTTTCAAATTAATTGATGTAAAATTATACACATAATGCTCATATTTGCTCTTTCACCTTTGTAAATTCTTAATGTTTAAAATTTTAAAATATTTTCATCCTTAATAGTGCTTTAACCTTATAATATCATCCTAGATATTTTCTTTAGATTTCCTTTTTATTCTATTTGCTTAAAATACTAAAAATTAATAATAACAATAAATCTATTTTGTGGATTTGTGGTTAGAGGTGCAGTGACCAGCCCCCCATGACTAACCGTGGGTTTAATTAGCACAATCGTATGGTTGAGATTTATAAGTATTATATTAAAGTCATCGAGAGCATGAGAGATAGAGAGTCAAGTAATGGAGTCAGAGACATTTCATGGTAGCATTGCTCACCTCAGCCCCGCTTGGTGGTCCACGTGGAGAGAGGGGGAAGGGAAGGAGGACAAGGGGAGAGAGAAACAGGGGAAGAGAGGGAGCCCAGGAGAGGTCAAGGGAGGGGCCGAGAGAGTGAGGGGGTGAGAGAGGGAGAGAGTGCTCTCTATAGCTAACCCAGGCTTATATACCTTTTGGGGGCATGCAAGCCCACTGATTACAGGTAAAGACATATGTCACAGGAAGGGGTTGCACTATAGGTTATACAGTAATGGAAGGGGGTGGTCTAGGGGCATACACGCAATAGGAAGAGGAGTGGTTGGGGGTATACATGTGATAAGATGGGCAAAGCCTAGATACAGGATGGCAGCTTAACTGAGCTGGTTTGACCTGTTCTCTGGATTTCCAGAGGAACCTTTATCAGTAGGGTGTGAACCCCACCTACAGGAACCAAGCTAATGGTCGCAAGCCTTAGCCCATTGTCCCCAGCAGCAGAGAGCAGGCTCACCTCTTGGTCTGGTGACTGACTGTCTTCAGGGAGGATGTCTATAAGAATCTGACCTCCCCCCACATAGATTTATTGTTATTAATTTTGTCAACTCCAACGCAGGCGATTCATATTCCCTAGAGTTTCAATGGCTGATTTTTCAGAAGTCCCTCACCTGGCCTTGCTTCCAAGATGACTGTTTATCCATGTAAAAATGCCCAAGGGTTTGGTTAGCAGTTGAGCTGGTTAGCTACTTGACACAAACAGAGACATGTCTTGAAATACTAATTTCTTGCTTACTGATTCTAAAATATTTCAAAATAGCTTTTTTAATAATCACTTTTCCTTTAAGTAGCACTTAAGCTTCTTTTTAAGTTTTGATATTTGGAGATTTAGTGTTATTCAATTATTTTCCCTTAATAATTGCATTGCATTATGATATTTTGTTTTCTTAAGAGTTATTGAGAAGTCCTTAAGATATCAAAATGAATTTTAGTTTGATTGTTTTGATTTTTAATTTTTAGTTTGCTTGGACTCTGGTGAAGAGGAGATCATTCCTGCTCCTTGGCAGGTCTTAAAATTTGCCTTGTGCTTTATTTTACAGTCAATTTTAATGCATCCTGTCTGGTGCTTTGAGATAAGTTAGTATTGCCTACTTGATGCATTTAGGTTT